GTGCTAGTTGTTGTAGAAGTGGTTGAGCTGGTAGTTGTGCTTGTTGTTGTCGAGGAGGTAGTGCTGGTTGTTGTGCTTGTTGTGGTAGAGGTGGTTGAGCTGGTTGAGCTGGTTGTTGTAGAGATGGTTGAGCTTGTAGTTGTGCTTGTTGTTGAAGAGGTGGTTGAACTTGTGGTGGTGCTTGTGGTTGTAGAAATGGTTGAACTTGTGGTTATGATAGTAGTTGAAGAGACAGTTGAACTTGCAATTGTAGAAAGTGTAGTAGAATCACTAAATTATATAGAAACTTGGAGAAATGTTTAGCTAGAGAATAGTATATCTTACGTTAAATTGTTGATCGTAGTGGACGGGCCTAAATAATATGAAATGTAAAATATGTTTGTATTCTATATCGGCAATAGTTTCTATGGATAATTTATGTAAGTAAGAAATTTGGATACTAAAGCCAGTTAGTAATAATTGTAGCTAACTCCAAATAGACAAATCGATCGATTTTCATCGATTAAAAGAGATCATCAGTTCGAAGGATATAAGCTATATATTTTAATGTTACTCAACGTTGGAAAAACAGTTCATTTTATGGAAAGCATATAATGAAACCGATAGTAGTGGTAATATCAATATGCAACTCTGGTCGGACTATAAAATAATGGCTAATTTCGAAATTTACATTAGATATTTAATAAGTTTAAATGAATTGTGAGTATTTTACTCTAAAGATTAACACAGAACCTGTACAAATTCATTCGAAAAAAATCATTTTCATAGGTCAAAATCTATCTTTGATTTCTGATAAGATTGGGACGAATCTAAGTAAGCATGGGTGAAAAGAATTCGGGAAAGAATATAGGCGATTCATAAACATAATATTTACACTTACAGTTATTCTTAAAATAGTAAAATTCTAATCTAATTTTCTTTATTCAAAATTAAACTTCTTATCTATACTATGCTTACTGTTGGTTGAAAGAGTTGTTGTTATTGTTATTGCTGATTGATTGATAAATAGAAAAGAAGAATCTAAGTTAAATTCAATTAAAATTGAGTTATTATTATAGATAAATAATTGGCATGTGTTATTTATTTGAAAATAATTTGCAGCAATAATTAATCCATTCAATTTTGCCATTTGACATATACATTGTTCTTCCGTTATATGTATTAAAGTATTACTTGTATTACCAATCACAAAATAATCATCTATTTTACCGAGTCTAATAGACTCACCAACAAAAAATAAAGACAAGATAACAAGTATCCAAAACATGTTTTAAGTTGTTTACACCATTGTAGACTTTCTCAACATTTGTATAAACAACTTGTGTTAGTCGTTTTTTTTCTTTAATTTTCTAAGATTCTGCCTCGAACTGCAATTCAATATTTCATCATCAGTAAATTAAAACACCATACATTTTTTATGAAGTGTTTTTCCCAGAAAAAAAAATGTTTATGACTACACTAGACAATAACAATATATATAATTACATTGAAACAATTACTATGAAAGTAAAATGTGAAATACGAAACAGATGCTACAACATCCTAATAATGTTTGTACGGATAACGGAGTGCATATTTCTACTCCTAACACTTCAATACAGTCTTTAGTTTGTGTTTTACAGGAGATCTATTGTTAATAGTTAAGACAATATGCTTGTAGTTCTTATTTTTTCAACACTTCTTTTGATGGATAGAAATTTTTTTTAAATATTTCGCAAATATAAATGTTGAGAATACCAATAAATATAATTATTCACTATGTATCATTTTACGATGAAAATAAAGCAAAATTTAAATATAACAATAAGATTTCTTTTCTATTATCTATATGATATTAGATTGTCTTTTTTTAAACAATGAATAAAAAACTCATTAGATAAAAATGAATTAGAAGATCATGGGTTTTTAAAATTTACTTCAGTATATTTGCTTAATTACTTTTTTTTTACTTTTTCAACGCTTCATACATCATAGAGATGACGTATTTCTTTTTTTTTGTTTTTCTTCTACTTTCTAATTAACATTTATTATATTAGTAAACAGAATAAAAACTAAACATATTTGACTAAAGAATTTTATATTGATTGTTATTATGTGTTGTATTCGTAACTAAACATCTGTTTATATCTAAAAGTCTTTTGTTAGAATAAAAAAAATTGTTTATAATCACTTCATGACTGTAAAAAATATTCACATAAGTAACTGAGTATTATCAATCAAATTTACTTGTACAAAACATTTTCTGTTAATGAAAAAAATATATATGATAAAATTCACTACAAATGATTGTTGGTTGTGAATAACACCGAACGATCTTAAGTTAAAGTAGTGTATTTGCAATAATATTGCTATATGTTTAACTGTTCTTTGGCCATTTAAATTTAATATCATCTTTATTCTCAATGAATGGTAATTTTGTATTGCTTTCATACAATGCAAGCACATGTGATCTAATGTCTACATTAGAATAATCATATCATCATTGTTTTAGTGCAGTAGTCAGGGGTGTAACACTCCGCCCCCCCCCCCCCAATCTTTGAAAATTTCTATTTTTTGCTCAACAAAATCGGCAAATTTTTTTAATTTTTTGAACAAAGATCATGCTATACCTCCCAAAAATTCAAAAAATTTTCGTTACACCCCCCCCCCTCCCAATGTTGGCTGACTCGCACCACCCTTGCGAGGGTTACTTGTTTAATTACAAAATCAATATTATTGTCTAGAAAAATTTCATTCACATACTGATTTCTTAGTTATAATATCGAGTTTATGATTATGATAATATATTTTTAAAAAAGATCAAAAATCGTTGTTTCTCATTAATGTTTTTTACTTGTCGAATATTTCATGTTTCTATTAAAATTATAAATCACAACATTATATTTATGTCTACATTAAATTAGTTAAAAATTTCCAGATAACATATATTTCATACAATTTAATTTGTGTTATACATCATATTTTTCATTTCTCTATTGAATTATTCTTTGAATAAACTATTGATTCAAGCATTTGTCCATTTAATAGAATGGGTGGATACATTTGTGAAATTCCTTCATTAGAAAATCCAAGTCTTTCTGGAATAGCTCGAGACTTGAGATTATTACCACCACAATGAATTTCCATACGTTTGATATTCCATTTTTCAAATGCAAATTTTATTAATTGTTCTACTGCACTTGTCATCAATCCTTGTCCTTGAAAAGTTTCAGATATCCAATAACCAATGTCCGCAGAACAGGTATTAACATCTCGTGTCAAACGACATCGACCAATCAATTGATTTTTATTAAGCCAAAGCCCAAACTGTAACGAATTTTCTTTTGATGTACCCCATCGACGTTCAAGATCATCTCGAGTTTGAAGTGAATCAATTCCAGGAATATTTTTTTGAAGATATTTACGATTAGATTCAAGTAATTGATATAACTGATCGATATGTTCTGGTTGAATTAATTTAAGATACGCTTCTTTATTTGGTAAATTTAAATGAGTTTCAATCGATGATATCATCTTAAATTTGAAAGTATCTACAAGTTTGATAAATACCTGTTAGAATTGTCGAGATATATGAAAATCTCGTAAAAAAAACGTGTTGTGACAATCTTATCTACTTAGATTGTTATAAGATGAAGAAACTAAATAAAATAATAGTTATCTTACATACATACATTTCGTATAACATTTCTTTTTCTTATCAGACATGAATAAATGTAATATGTAAAATTACATAGAAATATTTATTTTTAAAAAATGTAAAAATAATCTAAATATCTACGAAATAAACTAATCATCTTCTAAATGCGAATGTTGCATAACATAGACCTAAAATATAAAAATAGATAAATATAAATTATTTTTCAAATACAGACCATATCTGTTCGATCCATGTGATAATCATATGGTGGATAATAGATAACAATACGTTTTTGATCATTTATTGATTGATGACCTTTCCAATTTGGATCTCTTTTAAGCAATACATCCAAAAGACGATAAATGCCCATGACTACCATACGATGATATTCAAGTGATTTACAAAAAAGTAAACTAAATGTTACAGGATCTGACTAAATAAAAAAAAAGTAGTTTTCCTTATCAATACTGAAAGTAGTCGACTTCATACTCTTGTATCTATATCTGGAATTAAATTACAAATTGCAACTAAAGCTACTCGTGCTCGTTTCCGTTTTTGAAACATTTCCGGTGATTTGCATTGAGTAAATCGTTTGCCTTCAGCAAGTATATCTTCTAATTCTATATCAATACCACCCACAAGTATATTTCGAAGTAAATTGACTGCATTTACATTGTAATAAGCCTATAAAGAAACTAAATAGGGTAACTATACTATATTTTGAAAGATCAATCTTTTCCGACATAGAGAGACTTTTATTTTTTACAGGGATATTTCTCTAAAATAATTTCTTTTAGTAAAGACATATGTAGAAATTTTCACGTTCAACTCTATAGTAAATGGTTAAGAAAAATTACTCTCTTTCAAATGATTTTTAATGAAAAATACTTACACAACTTAGGATACAATCAAGTACACTGTCGGCAAATGCAGTACCTTAAAATAGATGTAAATATATAATTGAACATAAAAAACCTATACTAATGATACCTGATGCAAATGGAGTAGTTAAAAAGAATTGAAGATCAACTTCATCGGTATGTCCTATAATGAAGAAAGAAAATGTCAAAATAAATTTGGAAAAAATATTCATTGTACCTTGTTCAACATACTGTACATTAGAATCAATTGCTACAATAAAAAAAAACAAGTCAAGTCATTGATGAACAACATAAACCGATGAATTACTTAGTGTAGTTAATGTATTAATCCAATTTTGACGTAGAAGTTTTGTTCCACTTATATATTGATTAACTCTGCCTCTTCCTGTTAAACTATATTGTGAAAGAAGTCCAACTCGTTTCATTTGAATTTGTCGAATAGTAAGAGCACATAGTACGGATGATTTATCGACTAAATAAGTGTCTAGATTTCCACGATCGACAGTGGACATAATAACACATTGACGACAATCATGAAGTGAGATTAATTTGAGATTGTAAGGATTAATTGGAGAACCCTAGATTTAAATACAAGAAGAAACTTTTAAGAAGGAACTAGCTTACATTGAGAATATATATATCGGGAAAAGTTGATAACATGTCCCATTCACGTTGAATATAACATAAATCAGTAACAAAAATAATAGTTGGTAATTCATGTCGACGAAATGAACTCGCACGAAGAGGCATGACAAAATTTCGAAGGCCAATTGTTGGTGATGTATCATCGGCATGAAGACATACGATTATATCTTACAAAAAATAATTAAATTATATATTATTTCATAGTTAGTCGACTTGTGTGAAATCAGTGAATGAATAAATAAATTTTCTTAGTACTTTACTATACTTACGATCTCGAAAATAGAGAGGATGCTTCGATGGCATTGTTTCCTCATGTGTAAAACGTTGTTCTGGAAATTCAGTACGATGCTCTCGAAGTACATTTGTGTCCTATAGGGAATAGAATTGATATCTTTATAATGTTCAATCAGCAATGACTTACAAGAATAGCATCTTCTATGTTTCGTGGTGGTGTGTAATAGAACATGCCAGTGGAATCAAAACTTGATATATCCTCTGTTGATAACCTGCAAAAAGAAGACAAAAAGAACATCTTGTCTGAATGATATATTATTAAAATGGATGAAAGAACAAAAAAAAAGGTTTATAACATACGTTTTGTAGCAATTTTTACACGACGAATGTATTTGTTCAGATTGCGACGATAAAAGAGGTTGAGTAACATTTGTGTCTGATATACGACTAGTTCATATAAATAGTTTTTAAAATTTTTAAAAATATGAAAAATAATTTACACAATAGCATGTTCATTTTCTGAAAAATCAAACGGTTGTATTCGAATTGGTATTTCTTCTTCTAATCTCACATTAATTTCTTCTACAATGGAAACTAAAGAATTAAGAAGTGTATAAAATTGTATGTATACTACCATGTGAACATTTTCGCATCTGTTTCAATTGTGATTCAGTAAGATTATCAAGTACTGGATAGCAAATTGAGCAATAGTATTTTACTCTATATAAAATATATTAATGAATTAATATTAATATTAAAATCCAAACCAACCGATTAGCTTCTTCATTCGACATACACACAATAAATGCGCGACTTCCAGGAAGAATTATACAATTATCACATGGAATTACATTGACAATCATTCGTGTAATATCATTTTCATCTGATCGTTCCATTTCAACAGCAAGAAGCATAACATGAAGTTTAAAACAAATTCTATATAATTAAAATTGATTAATTCTATTCAAATATAGAGTACATACAGAGCACTTTCAACAAATGATTTTCCATAGAACGAAGAAGGCATTTCTTCGAGATATAATTTCATTCCAGCACCTCGATAATACAAATCACGCCATGGCCAAATTTGAGTCTACAGATAAGTACAGCACATTAAAATAAATCATCTAATTTTACGTACCATATGCTGGGATTTCCGAGCATCGTACGATGACATTCGAAATATATTTGTCATCTATTAAAAAAAAACTATAAACAGTAATAAATAGTTAAATAATTTTTGATTATAATACCATTGTAGCAAATCCAGGTGCAATACATGACATACCGATAAGACCGAGTTTTAATTCAGAAATACAGATAATTTCGTCATTATCTGTACTCCAACCTGGTATTGATACAACATTTAACTAGATGAAAATCTAAATATATTGTGTAAATAGGATGAATCTTTCTTACTTTATTATGATAGCGTAGTAGTTGTAACAGTATGCGAATATGATGATTAAAATTTTTTAAACTAATTACTCGCATAATATTTGCTGAATCATCACTATTAGGATCTGCACATTCTTTATTAGCAATGATTAAACATGCCGTAGCTTTATTGACCTTTTGTACAATAAATATAATGATTTTTAAAATAAAGAAATATATAAAAAAAACCATCGTTGAGAGTGTGGATGTTAGCCGTCTTTTCACCCACACCCTTCCATAATCATGTATGAAGCAAATTTACCTGTATACGGTGTAAGTCAGCAATATTCATAATACTACCAACAAAATATTGTAATTTTGTATAGTATCGTTTAAGTAATGCTTCCATTTCAATATCAGGCGTTTTTCTTTGAATAAAAATAAAGAATTCCACATTAGAGTAAAATTAGTAATACTTTATGTAAAACGTTTTTTTCATTCGATAGCCTTCCATTATTAAAATTTACAGAAAAGAATGTCTATGTAACTTCATGTATTATCCTCTATCAATGGTGTAAAAAAAACATACTTATCCATGATGACAACTTCGAGTTCATCGACTTCGTCACGACCTTGATGAAGAAAATCACGAAGAAATGCAGCCAATGAATGAGGTGTAATATGTCCACAGATGATAACATGACTGTAAATATAAATATATACTCACATTGAAAATACAATATCAACTATACCGTTTGCCTTTGACTCTATGATACTGACTAGCATACGGATCTTTTGAACGAAATAGACTTGAAAATTCTGGAATCATAGTTGTAAAAACTGCCTAAATTTAAATAGATAATAATTAATTAGACACATACAATATGAATACATACCAATCCACCAATAAGAGTTAATAATACAAAAAATTTGCCAATATATGTCTTGCAAGAAATATCTCCATAACCAACCTAAAATATCATGATATAGCTTTTTTCTTTTAGTAATTAACTTACTGTTGTCATAGTAATAATCATATAGTATACGGAATTAAAAACATCGATTTCTTGTGCATTACAAAAATTACAAAAGAAATCGCCTGAATTTTCAGCAAGATGTACAAATCCACCAGTTGCAAATAAGATCGCAATAAATTTTGATGCCAATTGACTGATTCGAATTGTACGCGGTTGTTTAATTACATACATATATTGTAGAATATCAGGGATAATCATTATAGGAATTGCTCGTAAAAATCGAAAGCCTGTCCAACTTCGATTGAGATATATAGTCATGAACGATGGTGGAATAGTAAAAATATCGACAAGAGAATATAAACTAAACCAAAAGTATCGTTTGTTTTGAGCAGCAGTTAACTAATAAACAAAAATATTATACTATTTATAAATGATATATTAATACGCACACGAAGAATGAAATAAATGAGAAAGACAATATTCAAACCAAGATCAATTTGCATGCTGATTGATCTGTGAAACATCGTGCATACTTCAATATAACTAAATTGATAAGTAAACAATGTATCTACCATAATATGATTTAAGAAACTCAACCCGATTGAATGAATAAAATATTTTAGTATTATTCTTACTTATTAAATTTTGTGTCTAAGCAGTATAGTATCAATGAAGTAATATTACAGAGAAAAATAATGATAACCTAAAAATAATAACAAAGAATTCGAGAGAATGTTGTAGATTTTATTTGGAATACGAACAAATATTTTCCCCAATATTGTCTGTCCAGAAATAAGATTATTTTGCCAATTTTTAATTTCATTTAACCGATTAAATTTATGAATAGTTGTAATATCATCATCATTTTCAGGTGATTCGTGTCTCGGTGATTGAAGCTGAATTGAAAGCAATACACACTATAAGAATGATATTTATTACATACATGTCTCACATTTTTTGTTCTTGTCGGATGTTTCGTATGCCATTTAGACGATAGTTTTTGGAATGCTTCAGAAATACATATTATTATCGCTCCAGTGAAAAGTACAACCAACGATGAGAAAAGAAATGTAGTCCACATTCGTGTACCATTGCATACTGGATCAAGACTTTTACTTTCATATTCAGGAGAACATGTTGGACAATTACCCATTTTTTGTCGTACGTAATCTAATTTCTACCGTCAAATATTGACTTCTTAAATCTGAAAAAAATTAGTATTATTAATAAAGAATTAGAAAACCTTTATTGGACTCAACTTTTTTGATTATTTTTGTTGTTCGTATGAGCAACCTATGAAACTTACACATTCTTATACTGTTATTATAAAATCAAATATTCAAACATAGACATGAACTGATATTTGTATCATAGTATATTGATTCAATATTTAGTCTTTCATACGAGCTCATTCTATTCCGAGATGTTGAATATAACGGAATCAGTTCCATCAAATACCGAAATTCGATCATGTGAGAAGAATTTTTTAATACAAACTCAAATTATCTTTGAATAAAATCATAAAGAGTATTTCAAATCTTAGCTTTAATGAATGACTTTTATGCTGTTTGATTTAATCAACAAAGTGAATCAATTTATCGTTTTACTTTGTATATATTAATAGTTGTCTATTCAAAACTAATCAAACTATAAATGTAAAAATAAACTTAATATTTTACCATGTGCGTTTGACTTGCGTGAAAGACATTGGCTTTTTCGTTACTTGTTCTCTTATACGTAACAGACGGTAGAGCGTAACCTTATATATGCAATCTATTTGCTCGTTCTCTAATATCAACAGAACAAAATTACCTTTTACTCTCTTGCGTTCTTCTATTTAATGACTACGATCAGTAAAAAGAAGGCTAATCGATAAAATAATAATGTATATGTGTAGAAAAAGAAAGATGTGAGCATTACCATATGCTTACATTAAATTTTTTTCATCGTATAATTTATTGACCTCTTATGAAATTTTGTATTACAAAAATTGATTAATATATTTGCAAATGCTTTAAACGAAATATATCTTTGTTAATCTGTATATTTAATCAAAATTTGAAAGTAAATTTCTTTTTTTATTTGACTAATAGAAAGAAAGTATATATATAATCATTGATTAAATGTATTATAGTACAGAAAAATACGTAGTTTTATCGATAAAAATTTTTATTTCATGTATTATTATTTAAATTGAAAATAAATTAAAAACACAAATATAAATTATCTGCATAATGTAAACTTCATATTCTCTCATTTTTATTTTTGATTATTATATATAGCCTGAACGAATATTTTGTTAAATTGTAAAACAAAATTCAACATTTGAATAAATGAACATTATATTCTACTTATGATTTTCTAACTAAAAACTCAAAATTAGAATATCTAAAAAAACATAGATTTAATCATTGTTTTATTCAGTCAGATTTCAAATTTCGGTTATGCGTTTACTTGCACATTCATATTTGCTTATAAATAACAATATGAGACATACCTCACAATTTTCTGTAATCTAAAAATTGATATTTCAAGAAAATAAAATTTAGCCAACTTGAAAAAATCATATTGAATTCACAAAGTCAAGCAATTCAATGTTATAGAACTTAACGGGTGCAGATGTGAATATTTTTCAATCTTTACACTCTTCACCTAATAAAAAAAAGTACATGTATAAAATGCAAACATAATAAATATATGATTAATGGCCTAACCATTGAATTAAGGTTGGTTAACAGTCGATTCATCAGAACTATGCATTCGAATAAACTTAATTAGATTTGACGAAAGATAATTCTTATAAGATAAGTTTTTTGAAATGATTAGATGAGCACAGCGACATTTCAGTGAATGTTTCCGGTTTGCAATGAGAAACTCTTTGATTTCGACGTGATAGGCCACATCTTCAGGTTGACAACCATCACGATCAATACTATCAATATGAGCGTTTGCATCTAAGAGAATTGTAATAACAGATCTTGCAACATCTACATTTTGACACTTAGCGATTAGATGCAATGGTGTTTGTTTCGTATGTGGAGCAACTTCGTTTACATTCGCTCCACCGCGCATCAATAATTTAATAATTGACAAAGTTGGAACACTAACAATAAATCAAATATATTTTCATTATGTAAATGTAAGAATGTTGAAAACTCTGACTTAATATATACACCGTCATTTCTTTTTCTTTCTATTTAGAGATGCTCGAAACTAAGAAAAGTCTTTATATTTTTCATCCTTTTTTTTTAAACTAATGAAGAAAGTGAAAGTATACCTGATAGAAGCGAACTCGTGCGTCTTTAAATCATTTATAATTTCTTGAATAAAATGGCTGAAGAGAGGAAATCGATATACCAGAATGATATTTTTACTCGTAGCTTGTCGTATAAGACCCAATAAAATATATTGTTCCTTGCTACTTGTTCTTCGCGATTCCATGAGCTACAAAATAAAATATTCATCATTTTATCTCTACAATAACTTTCATTTAATAGTTATATTTGTACTGTTTGTTAGTGTTTATTCAATGAAAACAAATACTTACATAAGTGATGATATAAAGCAGCTTCAATAGAATCTTGTGAAACGTTTGATCTATTCTTTTGAGTACCCATGCCCAAACCAACGCTAAGGATTCGATAGGAACGGAATTTTCTATTTTGAATATCTCCCGTAAAATAATAAAGAGTTTAAAAATATAGTCCTTATGCGATTCAATATTATTCGAATGATCAGGTTTTGTTTGAATAAATAATTGATAAGCATATATTCGTAGTTGAAGACAACGATGAAAGCAGTTGTGCATCGATTGAGGGGAAGGCATATGGCACGTATTGACCAAGGGTGTAGAAAGAGTGTAGTGACTCCTCCAGATGCGTCTAGAATTTACTGATGTTGCACCTCTCCTGTTTCTAAAATTCACTCGTGTTGCGCCCCTCCTGTTATAGGTAGTTAAGCGCATCTCTGAATGAGGTGATCCATTCCATTTGTAGATATAACTTTGTTTAATAATAAGTGAAAGATGATGATTAATTTGATCACTTTTGAGTAAAAGTCGCTCACTAACAAGTAATGCATACATTCGCATCTTATTATCATTTTCTCGTATAAGAGCAAGTTCATCTAATGTATGACATTCACTAAGAAATTCGTACGCTGCGCAGGATATACTATCATGTAATGGTGTTCTTCTACTTAATGCCATTTCGAAATAACAATATGCTTTATCACGCTTACTTGCATTACCACCGATTATATATTTACAAGCTAATAATGATAATTCGTCTAGAACTTGTTGTAGAGGTAATACATTCCATAGTATATCGATTATAGGTGTGTTTTCACAATAGGCTGCTAACATCAAAGGTGTATAACCTGCTGGAGACATATTAAAACAATCATGCTGATGATTGATGAGAACTTTGGCTATTTCGATATGTCTTTTATGTATAGCATAATCTAAAGCAGTTCTTTTCTGTTTATCGCGTAGAGTTGAATTGGCACCATATTTTAATAATAAATTCACTATACCGAGATGATTTCGACGGGAAGCAGCATGTAATGCACTTTCATTATAATTTCTTACACGTCGATTAACATCACATCCTCGTTTTAAGAGATAATCAACAATTTTTTCATGACCATTTTGAACAGCAACTATTAGAACTCCACATTTATTAATATTTGCATGTCCACGTGTAATAAGTTCTTGAACGAGTTCTAAATCTCCATTTCTACATGCATACCAAAGAGCTGTTCTACCATTAGAACAAACATGTTCGATGATTGTTTTATAGATATAACCTGCAAATATATTGTCTAATACTATTCGAATGCCCTCGGAATCTCTCTGATCAATGACGTAAGTAAGCATTGTATGTAAACGACGCTCTTTTATTTCTAAATTTCGTGATCGATATCGTCTTGAACCATACTTCTCTCTTAGCATTAACTTTAGAAAATTAAGAAAAGCAGCATCACTTTCATTAATAGCAGTCCCCATTAAAAACATTTTTGATGGTTTAGAATTAGGTGTTGTGCGATTATAATGATACGTATCATCGGGACTCCCAAAGTCTAAGGGCTCGTCATCCATAGTATTTCTAACATCAGCATAGTCTTGGATCATATTTAATTCTTGTCTCTTCCACGATCGTGCTGCAGATCGCCTATCTTTTGGAGGACCTTAAAATATAAGAATAAATAGCGATTGATTATAAACAGCATATCATACGTGATGAATGATGTGATGTCGTTTGATTTTCTCTTTTTTTTGATCGAACAGGATGCCTATGTAAGTGATGACGTTGTTCATTATTGCGATGATCAGAGATCTCCAATATCTCTTTATTGTTGGACATGAGCTCAGTTTGTTTTTTAATCGTTGTTAGTAAAAATCTGTAGTGTTAAAAATGGAATGTCAGACTTTTATTTAGATTTAACTCTAAAAAAATGATGAAATAAATAGTCAGAATAGATGATGCAAACTACACGTGGTATACTTGCAGCATTTCACCATACTCACCATATGAAGATGATAATTTTGTTTAATGAAATGTTGTCGTTCGTGTATTTCGTAATCAATGTTTTTTGTCGTCAGTTTTATTACAAACTGTGGTAACTATATATAACTTTCAAAATTGAATATGCATCAGCGTTTATTTTCTTTCATTTATTGCACAACTCGTAAGTAATATTTTGTTAACTTTATCATGACTACGCACATCGTTATATATACTTTCATTCCGTTCTATGACTGAAAACAACCAAAGACATGTGACATTAAAGTAATACATGCATTTTTTTCCTTTTCATACAAAAACATAAACAATGAATCACAACTTTTACCTTTCGATAGTATCTATGCCAGTCGAGAAGATTGTAATAATTTTACCGCTCTAAAAACTTTCGGTGAATACGGAAAATAATTATAGCATATTTATGCGTATTTAGAACATCAATGTGGACATGATGTAGAAAAATCTACATTATGATGTAATTTATTTGTTTACAAAACGTTCATAATAAAATTTCAAATGTACATGAAGGTCAACATGCCTCTATAGCTCAGTGGTAGAGCGCCAGTCTTGTAAACTGGAGGTCCGTAGTTCGATCCTGCGTGGAGGCACTAATTTTTTATTATTTTTACACTTTATTTTAATCTTATTCAAAGTATCATCAACTATTAACCATTCTTGCTTCTATTAGAAACAAAATCTAAATGATATATAAGATGCATTTATAGATCTGATTGCATAACATAAAATAAATAGTCAATCTTGTGTTTTTGTTGATGAGTGCGAGTTTCAAATATTCATCAATCGACTTCATACACACACACACACACACACACACACATCTACAAGTTATTGATTTTAATCTTACAATATATCTATATAGACAACAGATTTTCTTTGCTTATGTTTTTATTTATACATAATATAATATGTTTAAAATCGACATATAAATAGAGAAAAACTTGTCGAAATCCGAATAAGTAAATATGTAATATAGTTTGTGCATACAAATGAAATCAAACTTTATTCGATAATATAAAAACTTTTTATTCCACTATGTATATCTTTACAACGAAACTTAAATATAATCTTTTCATCTAACTAATTCTAACGAAGTAAACAATAATAAACTTGAAATTAGTATACATCCACTATTTATTTTCAGTTAGTATAGATGATAATTGATTCAAATGAATACAAAAATTAAATCAATAAAGAATAATTTAGTGGATAACCTTTTTTCCTGTGGCGCTAATCGATCCCAGCAACAGGTCATACAGGTACACAGTATAACAATAGAATGGTTGTATTTGAGCGAAGTTGCTTCCTTGTGGAGATACACAATTAGTCAAAAATGTCCTATTCGTCTTAACCCTCGAACGGTATCCCCATTTTATCACACGAATGGTCTTTGTGGGTTCAGAGAGACCCACACAAAAATAAATTAGATGAACTTGATTTTTCACCAATTTTGTAGTAGATGCGGTTTATTATACCTTATACCATACCTTTTATCAAAGCGTGAATATATTAGTATGCCTATGATTTCTAAAAACGACGGTTTTTTTTCATGAAAGTTTTTAAAAAAAGGTTATGATAAGATTTTGATTTTAAAATATTACTGAATGAATATAACAAAATCGTCAGAAAAGTATTTAAGAATGTAAATGGTTTACTAATGATAGGGTTGTACTAACGAATCTAGATTCAATAAACTCCGAAAAAATAGATAGCAGACGGAATATGTATTAAAATCGCTTGTATAACATCAAAGGTATCAGGGGGTCCGTATAGACCCACACTTCAGTTTTCTAATCGTAAGGCTTTAGTACGAAGTTTAATATGGTGTATGTCTACCGTCATATGACTAACGATTAGCAGAGAGATGACCCCAAAAATGATGCGTTTTCGTGTATAAAAATCAAAAAAATAGTATTGTGGGTCTTGTCGGACCCACAAAAACCGTTCGAGGGTTAAATGACATAAAAGTTGAACTTGGCATTAATTTGTTTCTTTTCATAACTTTTTATAACTGTGAGCTTATTTATCTAAAGAACGCTAGAAGTTTCTTCATGTTACGAAATTTTATGTTGAATATATTATTCATAATATAGTGTTCTTATGAAAATACTCACGAAAAGAAGTCAATAAATTACATAAGAAACACTTACTATGTCTGACTCATGTGTCAAAATCGAATTTAAATTTTTATGGTATTTAAGATAAGTATTATACTTTTTTCGTCTATAAAATGCTATAATACAATTAAATAAAGTGTAACTCCTGATTTCAATAAACTGGTAGTTCATCAGAGAATATCTCATACTTGATAGACCATATTCCTACAACAATCAAGCAATTTTAGGTCTTCTTTAAAATATTCATTTTAAAAAAGATATATGATATGTAAATATAAACGGTTATCGTTAGTTTGGAAAATATGTTTGCTGAATACTATCCGACATAGGCAACTGAAATTCCTAGGTCATATAATCCGTAAAGGTTGCTTGGAACATCTGGTATTAAGTGGAAAAATCAATGGGAAGAAAGACAGAGGTCGACCAAGAATCAAGTACCTCGAAAACATGAACCTATAGATTACAAAACAAGGATACAAAAACACAGACTTCCTTCACGCAGCACAAGACCGGAACAATTGGCGCATCATGTTAGCCAACGTCTGCAATAGATAAGGCACCTATCTGATCTGATCGTTAGTTAAGAAATTCTTAAAGGCATAGAAATATTTCTTAAACATTACTTCGTTTGATAGTATTGGTTATACAGTGTCATGTGTGAACTTGTTAATTGGATAATTGGGCTAAGAATGTTGTGACTAATTCGTGTTCATAACGAATCATCCACTTGACAATTTTTCATGACAAATTGATGTGAGAATCACATAATGATGTATATATATATATTTGTGCGCTCGAAGTGTATGTTATACAACTGAAATGGCATCACGAGCATCAATACTGTTGATAATTGTTTCGTTAATACGGCTTGGGAACGCAAGTCCCATATGTAAGTGAGATAATATAGATATTTTGTTTCTATTACAGAACGTAAATTGATGCATTATTCATAGTTCATGAAAACAAAAGACAATTTTCTATTTGGATAAATTAAGGATTTTTAGTGTCCTATGAAAATAATACCTCTCATACGTGAAAAAATACATGTCTTCTGTTTTCTTTTAACAGCTACTTTGAATAAACGTGACGTACTTCCAATGGGAACTCAAAAGATGAATGGCAATTCTTATTTGAATGCATTCTTTGGTCTAACAATAGAAAAACCAGAAGGATGGTATGCATCAAGTATTCAAGAAATTCGTTCGATATTATCAGGTGATACTGGGTCGATATCCATTGACAACAAGACTTCAGTTCAAAAATCTGATGAAGCAGTAGTTGGTCAAATGATACCACTTTTTGGTTTCACAAAAAATCCATCGAATATACCAGAAAAGAAACAAAACGATAGCTCTAATGCAGCCATTATAGGATTGGCTTTCAATTTCACTAATCAAGAAATTACAGGAGATAATTGCGATTTTATTGATTATTTTAATCAAGGACTACAAAATGCCTCAGACACAAAAATTTTAACAAGTAGTGTATGTCAACCAATTGATATAAATGGAGTAGAATTCACAATGCAAGGGGTGATCTTAAATATAGACGATTTAATGGTTCAACAAAGTGAATTTGTTAAAATCACAAAAGATGGTTATATCTTCTTTTTCATACTAAACTATACCGACGATATGAGCAAAAATATACTTAATCGTACTATGAATACTCTCAAATTTTCCGGAAAAATAATATTGTAGTTTTTTGTGTTGTAAAAAATGATTGTTCTTCATGTTAAAAAAAGTCACTTTTTTGTTTATTCAAAAAGTGAAAAAATATTGTAGAATAAAATATTATTTAGCAAAGAATATTCTTGAATCTAGTTGTCTGAATGAAATATGATTGTAATTTTGATATAGTATACTTGAGATCGTAACTTATTACTACTGTCGAGATATTCATGTCACATCGATCTCTACTGAATAAGTATTACTTTTTTCGTTTATAAAGTTTCATAATACAATTAGATAAAATGTAACTTCTGTTTTTAATAAACTGTTAATTCATAAGAGAATATTTCGTATTTGATAGGCCATATTCCTACAACAACCAAGCAATTTTAGGTTTTCTTTAAAACATTCATTTTAAAAAAGATATATGATGCATAAATATAAACGGTTATCGTTAGTTAAGGATTTCTTAAAAATACAGAAATGTTATTTAAACATTACTTCATTTGATAGTATTGGTTATGCAGTATCATGGAATATTGTGGGAGAAACAGATGTGAACTTGTTAATTGGGTAATTGGCCAAGAGTGTTGTGACTAATTCGTCTTCATAACAAATTGATGTGAGAATTACATAATGATGTATATATATGTGTGTGCGCTCGAAATGTATGTTATACAACTGAAATGGCATCACGAACATCAATACTTTTAGTAATTGTTTCGTTAATACGGCTTGGGAACGCAAGTCCCATATGTAAGTAAAATAATATAGATATTTTGTTTTTTTTTACAAGACTTAAATTGATGCATTAGTCATAGCTGATGAAAACGAAAGAGAATTTTCTTTTTTGATAAATTAAGACTTTAGTGTCGTATGAAGATTATATCTCATATGTAAAAAAAATGTATGTTTTCTTCTTTCTTTTAACAGCCGATTTGAAGAAACGCGATGTACTTCCAATGGAAACTCAAAATACGAATGGCAATTCTTATTTGAATGCATTCTTTGGTCTAACAATAGAAAAACCAGAAGGATGGTTGGCTTTAAGTAGTAAACAACTTGGTTATCTGTTATCAGATACTGAATCAACATCCTTTAACAATAAGACTCCAGTTCAAAAATATAATCAAGGAGAAACTGTTCAAATCATACCTCTTTTTCGTTTTGAAGAAGATCCACTGAATATACTAGAAAAGAAACAAGATATTAGACTTTACGCACGCATTATTGGATTAGCTCTGAATTTAACAGGTGAAGAAATTACAGGAGATTATTGCTATTTTCTTGTTGGTTACAATAAAGGGATACGAGAAAGCGGAAACAAAAAAATTATGGGAAGTAGTGTATGTCGACAAATTGATATAAATGGAGTTGAATTCACAATGCAAGAATTAACCTTAAATGTGGGCAACTCAATGATTCTTAAACAAACCGAAATTGTTCGAAACACAAACACTGGTTATATCTTCTTTTTTATACTATCCTATACCGACGATAAGAGCAAAAATATACTTGAACATACTATGAATACTCTCAAATTTTCGTGAAAAAGAATATTGTACTTTTTTGTGTTGTAAAAAATAATTGTTCTTCATGTTAAAAAAAGTCACTTTTTTGTTTATTCAAAAAGTGAAAAAATATTGTAGAATAAAATATTATTTAGCAAAGAATATTCTTGAATCTAGTTGCTTGAATGAAATATGATGTAATTTTGGCATAGTATACTTCAGATCGCGAACTATTACCATTGTCGAGTTCAAGAGTACCTGAGATAGAATTTTTTTCTTCGTTATGTAACACGTGAGATATGAAAGTGCAACACGTGAACTAAGATAAGGTCATCTTGAATCTATAGAAACAAAAGTGTTTATAATTATTCTTTTGTCAGACTCGTCAAATGTGTAAGAATTGTCTTTCGACATAAAGAGTCATTGAAATATAATAGAAAAGAATAAGTTGAAAATTAATTATACGATAAAATATAATATTTGACAGATCATTAATTAATTATTCAAGATATATATATATATATTCATCATTTTCTCTTAAATTGATGCAGACGATATAGAATGGATCTAAGAAATACTAGTCTATTTTTTATAACTACTTATCTGTTAATTATAATTTTATGTATAGTTGGTCTTTTATTTGCTATCACCTTTATTTTTCTTATTTTAATCCATCGACAATCACATACAGTTCGATATTTATTATCGAGTAATGTTGTTCTAACATCATCGATTTATTTTCTAATCGTTTTATATAATCATATTAATGGTCTATTTTATCACACATTATCTCCTATGTCATGTGTAATTGTTTCTTATATAATGTCATCTAGTGCAGCCAGTATTTCATATTCTCTTATGTTACAATCATTAAGTCAATTAATATTCATTATTTTCTATCGAAATAAATATTTACTTTCATTTAAATTTCATTTCTTAATTTTATTATTATCTTGGATTATTAGTTATACACTTGTGCCTATACCATGTGCTTTATTAAAAGGATTTATATACGATTCAAGTTTATATCTATGTATTGTAAATACAAATTTAGTGTTTGTTATTGTTTATGTTATGTTTACTGGTTGTTTAATACCATTTACAATTATTGGTCTTATCTACTATTATATTATGTTTTATTTACATAAGACACGTAATACAAGTGTTGCGCCTTTAGCTGTTATCAGTAATCATCCGACTCGTAAGAAAATTGATCGTAATCTTGCTGTCTTACGTAATATTATGATCAATGTTACAATTATGTCAGTGACAGGTTTACCATCATTTATTATACTGATTTTATTAGTTTTGAAAAAAACAACGGTAACTGTAAATATATATTGTACATTATTTACACTTTTTGGAGTTGTATTAATGACAGTGACAACATTCTTCTTAAAGAAAAGTGCACGAAAAATATTTTTCAATTGTTTTCATTCTTTTAAAATAAAATAAATTTTATTTTTGTTTGAAACATTAGACTGTGCGTATCTTGAGAGTTTCAATCGCTTCTCTTTCACTTGGTTTAGTATATATTATTAAAACAGAATACACGAAGAAATCATATAGTGATTCACAAGGTACTGTGTTCAAACCTCGGTATCATCAGTTATGGAATGACTCTGGAGGAGTCACTGACGGTTGTTTGTCTCGGATCACGCATCCGATCGCATGCTGATTATATTATGATATGCAATAAAGCTCTCGTAGCTAATATGTGGTTAATCAATGTGCATGAGAAGCTTAAGTGAATTGAATGTGAAAAACGCTGCGTCAGGCCGACTTTCTGTCTAGAGCTACAGCTAGTAATAGTTGTAGGAAAAACATCGGGCTTCTGAAACTGTCCTTGGGTAGTGCCCTATAGCGAACGACGAGGAATTGCTTCTTATTGGCGAAGAGACAGTAAGCGTATAATATGGTACCTATGATTGTCAATGATCGATCATATATATCAATACTGATATCATGTCTATGTTGAGTAGTTCTAAGCTAATCAATTGTAAAGCCGAAAAGTTTAGAAAATCGGTAATGATTGTTTGGGTACTTGTTATATATCTGATGTGTTCTCCTTCTCTTTTGTCGTTCTCCGTATCTTCCATTGTGATATATGTGATGAACTTTTTCTTTTCTGTCACATAAATATATATGAGAGATTTTTCTTTGCGTTCCCTTTTCTCTTGTCAAGATTTCACAGGCGATGTTTCCTTCTCGCTCGTCATCACCCAGGGAAGATTTGATGTACGGATAGTTTGTCTTTGCTCACTGTCATCTATATAAACCAACTGATTTCAATAAACGGAACCGACTGTGACAGTCAGGATCATCCACACTTCACAGTACTTATGCAAGATTTACCAATATTTATAATGTAAATTGATTAGTAGAAGTTATATACAATGCTCTTTTTTCTTGAACAGGAAAAGGAATACTGAGATAATTAATGGATATCTATATCATGCTAGTTTTTGTTATATTAATGTAAGTGACAAGTATAGTTGAATTGATAATGATGATATAATCTACACCGCGAATAAAATAATGTCATGTTTTTTATTTTATTAATGATCTTTTTTTGTGTAAATATAAATATATCTTATCCAACATGATTCACCTTTAGAGAATTGTCATCAACTTATGAAGAAAAAAAATGTTCTCGTTTATTTTATATCTATATTCTTCATGATATTTATTTAAATATAAATTGAATTAAACACATCATCGACAAAGAATCTTTAAAATAACTGTTTTAATTAGATGAAAAAGTGCCTTTCGAAATACACTTCCACCAGTTAATGTATAGATATAAAAAGGCATTCCACTTGCTGTAAAATTGAGCAGAGTAACTAAATTAAAGATAAAATTTGGAATGGCAATATCCAATGATTGAGATGATGAAGTTAATGAAATTGATGCAGCTGATGAATAAAATTTTTGAATAGCATGTGGACAAGTAAATAATATTAGTAGAGTTACTTGTACAATAAGCATTTTAAGTAAATGTCGATCTATTTTTTTGATTTTTTGTGGTCGATTTACAGTCGATATTGTATTCTTCTGTTCCAAGCTGAATGGCAGCATAGCTATATTCTGAACTCGATTTTGACTGTGACGTATATTGTTAATAGTCATTAATCCAAAAATGATCATTACTGATAATGGCGAAAGAGTCGTACCGAATACATAAATACCATCTGTTACGACACTACAAGCATATGTTGATCCATAACATCCTCGTAAAGATCCACTCAAATTAGCTCGATAACAATAAATGATTGGAGCATTGATAAGACATGCATAAATAAAAACAAGAATCATTCCTCGTCGAGCATTTTTCAATGTACTTTTTTGTCTTCTATATACATGTTTACTAGATGCTAACCATCGTTCGATCGTTGCTAAAGCAATTAACCATAGAGTTATTGTTCTTGCTGTATATAGAATATAATTACGAATTATACATATCCAATTGACTGTAAGAGTTAGATCAACTGCATAGCCAGACATCATTCGACTTGTTAAACCACTGACAATAGCTATAAGAGAAGCCATTGATGAAAAAAGAAATAAAACTGCAGATGAATTTGAACGAATATTTGATTGAGCTAAAACCAAAACATTAAGAAAATTACCAATTATACCAAAAGTATAAATAAAAATAGGTAAATAACGATTGAGATCATTTGATGCTGCATTCCATAAATTAGCAGCATTTGCATTGATATTTGAAGACGACATTACCAACAGAGATTCTAAAAGGAATGTATTTAAAAAAAAAAGTATTTTTTTATTATGTTAATCCTCTACATTGATATGTCACAGACGATATATATATATAAGTAAATTATTTAATAAAGCGTCTCTTCCTAACAAGAAAAGAGAAAGAGACAATCATCCGTATGATTTTATAATAAGTGACACTTTTGAATTTAATATAAAATCATGGAAACAGTTGATTCTACTTCGATAATTTTTTTTACATATTGTAAATAAAATATTTTTTCATCGTTAACGAATTTCAGTAAGATTAAGAAGATTACATTGATTCTCATTTATTAGAAATTCAATAAAGCTTTAATTTATATGAATAGTGTTGTTTAAGAAGATGATATTTTATTGTGACATGTTAGAATATGATTGTAAGTTATAACGTGGGTGAGATATGATATCTTCATCATCACCCATGTTTAGATTTCTACGGAAAGAGAATTATATATTCAACATATAACTGTTGTCAGGAATTTCATTGAAAGGATGAATGGAAGATAATATTGTAATTCTTTTTTATTAACACTAACATTTTCTGAATAGACAATATTTATTGAAGCAGAATGACAGAAAAAAATTCTATATGCGTAGTATTTAATATTAGAATAACTACTGATTACGAATGAAAAAAAAAGATTTTCTTTTTAAATAAATTATTGTCAAGAACTCAAAAATATAATTTTATTCGATGTTTAACTTGTATTAAACTCGATATTTTCAAATATATTATGCATTAAATATTCATATCATCTTGTTTTTCTCTATACGATCTTATTTGATTGTAAACAGCAATTTAATCAAGTTAATTTGTTATTAAATTTCTAAACATACATTTACGGCATCTAAATCCATAAATTTGATGATATTGCTAAAGTATTTTTTTAATTCATCGACAATAATTCTAAGATAGTCATGTCTTTAAAAAAAAGATTCCTCTTAATCTTCGTTACATGTTTGCTTTCATCTAGTTATGTGACTGTAACCGTTTAATATAGAAATCAAAGATGAATGTGGCTAGTAGAAAATTATTTACTAGAGAACAATAACACGTAGGAAAAACCAATATTCTCTTTAGATAAAAATGTGGGTAAATATATAACCACACAATAATATTTTTTTTCATGACATTTATAGATGAACGTTTTGCGAGACATGTAGGAAAGTAAATTTGAACGATATTTACTAATACGATAAAAGTATGTATTAGTACAAGAAACAGAACTATTTTTTATTTGACATTTTTCTCTTAATATATAATTTAGATTTGATTTTTAATCGAAATACATAATAGTTAGAAACAGTTCTTGTATCAGATAAAGACAACGACATAGAATGGAATCTGCAGCTAATAACATAGAAAAAAAGCGGATCGCTACAGTACATGAACAACAATGGAAATTTTCAACTCCTACGTTACCCAAAATTATTATTAAAGCATGTTCGACTGCTATTGTTCCGTTGATGATCGGCACACTTACTCTTATACTTGCTTACCAACAGCATTATCAAGGTAGATTGTCTTTTTTATTAATCTTATATTTATTGATAAGAAATCTATTAAGGTATCCAAAACCGACAGACGGATCTTCATATAGCTAAAACTCAGGAACAATTGGAGAATGAAAAACGACAACAAGATTTACATATTGCTGAAGCAATTCAACAAGATACAGTATTAAACGCATATTTAGAAAAAGTATCTCAACTTTTACTAAGTCAGCAATTCAATCTTAGTTCGAATACACTTAAATCAATTATTCGACCTAAAACTTTAACGACAATTCGTCAATTAGATGCAACAAGAAAAACACTGCTTGTTAAATTTCTCTACGAATCATCTTTATTAATGAGACATGAGACTGTCGATAGCCGATGTAAATCTTCAGATAAGCAAGATGTTGATTTACAGGACGCCAATCTAAATGGTATTATAATGGGAAGTCAAAATATAGAGACCGAACGTGTTAACTTATTTCGTATATCGCTTTCCAAAGTTACACTTATTAATTCTTCGTTTACTTTCTGTTTTTTGAACTGTGCAAACTTCGAGCGATCTATATTAGATGGTAGCTCGTTTCGTAATTCTCATCTTAGAGATACAAATCTAATTCGTACTTCGTTAGCTTATACAGATTTTACTGGAGCAACATTGTCAGGTTCTAATTTGGACTTAGCTAATTTGACTGGATCGAATATACTTGACTCACAACTTGTTGATGTTGACTCATCAGACCGAACTATTTTACCTAATGGAACAATTGCACATATGTACAATCTTGTACACAATGGTGATGCTAGGAATTGTACACTCAATCATTGGTCTATTTATCCTGTCGATTCTGTTAAAGTAGTTCCAGCTAGTGATAACAGAATTGATGGCTGTAGGTTTCAAGTTATCTCGAATCGCTCTGATAAAATACACATGGTGCAAAAAATTAATGATGAGATGATGGATAATCTTATAAATAAGGGTCGTCAAAATTTCGAAGTACGTTTTCGCATAGGTGGAAACACAACTGGAACGCAGAGTTGGACCGATAGTTTTCCGATTTTTCTCAATGTTTCTGAGAGAACAAGTAAAGAACATTTCCTTGAGAGTAAGTTACTATTATAGTATTTGTTGTATTATGTAATTTATATAATCATATTCTTTTTCATTTTACAGTAGCTTTCAGTACTCGTCCAAGTTCATATTCAATAAACAAAATGGCTACATTTCATCAATATAGTCTGATAACTGAATATTTTATGTGGAACAACGACCGATCTCTTGAACTAGTTGTTAGTTTTCCTAATGGAACACTATTTGATAATATTGAATTGTATTTAGAACGTGATATTATTTTAAAAGATCGATATGCTTAAATTTGTTTTTGTAATCGTGTGTACGTGAATACTTCTGACTTCTCTGAAGATCCTAATATATTTCGCTTAATGTATTATTTAACTATTAAAGCTGACAAGAAACCTCTCTGATTCTGCTGTGAAATAACTTCATTTTTTTGTATACTCTCATTGAAATTGAGCCGTACTCATAGAAAATTCTATTACTATCTAATATCTGTATGCAAATCTTTTATAGATGTAATATTAAAAACATTAAAATTTCACACGTTCTTACATGTAGTATTTATATAATAAAAAAGTGTAAAATTTTATATTTGACGTCACATATATGTTCTCGTTTGTTTCTATGCGACCTATTTCGTTACATACGATGAATTATCGTGTTACTTTTTCTCTTCCTATATATATAATTATTTCATTGTTTTTCGATAAACTTGGTCAATTTTCATTCTTCAAAATCATCATTTACTAAATGTTGGTATAAAAACAAATTGCATCCTATTCTATCACTTGTGTGTATATATCTTTGCTTTAAGTTTAATTTTTATTTTTGTCTACAGTGAAAATAACTATGTTATTATTATTGAAATAATAAAATATTATGTTTAGAATGTCTGTACAACGTTGAACATAAGTTATTATAGAAATAAAACTGAAAGGATTTATTCAATATGAGAAATGCTTCCATTGTTATTAGCAATGTGTTTTTATTGTATACGCTTATAGTCTTTAGGTGAAAGGATATAATCTAGGGTGCACGTGTGGCTGTATAAATCAAGCTCATTGCGAGATACTAGTTTATTCCATAGCCGAACACTAATCCGTATGAAAAGAATAATGACACATCACACACACCAAACATACAGAACAGAACAATAAAAAACGGAAGAGAAGTAAAAAGACAAGTGAAAGGAGTGTGAATGGAAACAAACAAATATGAGAGAGAAAAGGATGTATCATATGCAGAGCACATGACACCCATCATTCGCATTCACTATAATATTGACATCACACACATAAACAAAACACCGTATAAATTTTTCTTTCATTTTTGTGTTCTATTCTTTCGTAATTACATACAGATTTTCTTTATATTTTTATTTGATAAAGGATTATTATAGTCTATTGATAAATATATAATATCACTCTACAAAGCTTAGATATCGAACGTAATTATTAGTAGTGTTGATATTTGAGTAATAAGCAAAAAAAAAAGATAGGGGACACCCGGGATTGAACCAGGGACCTCTCGATCTGCAGTCGAATGCTCTACCACTGAGCTATATCCCCATGATGAATGTTGATAAAATAGTTCTAATGAATAAGGTAAAAAAATTGAAAAAACGTAAGCTATAAGTGAAACTAAAGTATGAGAAATACATAGTTGAAAATTAACTATGAGAAAATACGATAATAATAAAATGAAAGTGGAAAAAACGAATCAAACTTCAGCAAGATTATATGAACGGTAGGTGTGGGTGATCAAAAATCAAATAAATCAGCATCCACACCCGCCTTGTACTATTTAATTTATAATCAATGGTTTTTTGTGATTTTTTTTATAAATGAATTTGATTATTACAATAGAATATTTAACTTGTATATGCACATGAAGTATGATAAAACGAGTGGCAGATTTGAATCATCATTTATTCATTGAAATGATGAAAGAGAAAGAAGAAGTTATTAACATCACTCAACTAGTTAAATGAATTCAATTGATTTATAGCAATTTGTACAAATAGCTACTTTAAAAATATAAAAATCTTCTATGATTGATATATGCTTTTTATAAATCAATATAAATAAAAAAATCGTCAAGTTTTTCTTTCTTGTTCTGCTACTCCGTTCTACTCCTGTTTGTTTTCAGTCATTCGAGTCAAATCTGCGAGAAGAATATATTGTAAAACAGAACGAAAAGAAAACGATACACGTTTCTATCGATACAACGATATATTTTTTCCAGCTATGGAAGTACACGATAATATGAAGTCACGTAATGTGGAATATACTAACATAAGATGGATAGGAGTATTACACTTTGTTCTACTACTACTTTAATAATAATTAGTCAACGATTGCTTATTGTCGCATATATCAAGATACCATGTGCAACTTTCATTTTGGTTTATCAACGGAAACTAATTTCATTCTATGCTTTATTTTCCAAGTAACTCGAACTATGCAAGTCCTTGCGGAAATGTCACATTTTTCGATAGATCTTTTCATAACCATATTTATTTATTCGCACTCGCATCTACTCCTTATTTTCTTTACATAGATAAATAAAGATATGTCAACGGAAAAGCAATATAATCGAACATAAGATTATCAATATGCGATAAAGACCGAATGTCAGTCATTGGGAACAATGAGAATTTAATTTCCAATTTTATAATTAGATACTGTTTTCTAACTTCTCCGTAAGTCACTCAATAGACGGATGTAATGAAAGTCAAATAGCATACAATGTACGTTTTCGGCGGCTATAATCTTTAAGAAATTAACCACCAGGACAACTGTTAGATGACGGATTGTAGCATTGACCAGCACACCTCAGTTGATCTATGCTGCATAAAACAGCGGACGAATTTCTCATACTTATTATTAAAACTACAATGAAAACAAATAAAGAAGTCATATTCCATTATTATTACAGCTCTATTATAATAAATACAGCCAACTCGCACTTTGAATTTCTGATATATTAAGTTTATGTAAATGAATGTAATACTTCCGCTGCTGCATGACGCATAAAGTATTGAATAATAAAAAAAAGTGACCTTTTATTTCAAATGGTAGTGTGTGTGATTGATTTCCATAACATACGTTGATGCTTAAATCAATATTTTACATCTGTACCATAATACAAATATGTATGGTGTGTAGTGCCTAGAAAGAAGACATCTACGTCTGCACTCTTATTCTGTGAAGCATAGGCGTGTGTATCCTACTTCAACCACACCCACAGCTATCGAAATGTTTTTTTTTCAAACACATTCTAATATGGCAATTAATATCCTCTATCGCATGATGTATTAATTTTGCGACTATTATGTATGGAGAAGACTGCAAGGAGCAAAAACAGTTATAGTAACTAGAAAAATAAAGCAGACCTATTAAATAATAATATTTATTTTAATAAATAAGTAAAAAAAAAATTTGTGGTAATTAGGATTTTGTTTAGAGAGAGAGAGAACATGTATAGAAATAATATAAATGGTGATATTATAATAAAAACAATAAGATGAGATGTGTCTGTCTTGCTTGATCACCAATGGCGTCAATTTATTGTTACTCGTTCAAGAAATTAAAAATCTTCTATCATATGTTTTAGCAAGTAACGCCATATGGACACCAGCAGCAAAATCATCACAGTAAGTATAAATAATTGTAAATTGTAGAACAAAAGTGAAGTTGACTTATTTGGATCTATAAATAATTAGACATGAGTAAGAATCATATTGAGTAAAAAGAGAAAGAATTTTATAAAGAATCAATTTTGATGATGATACATCTGTATCTTCTCATCGGTATACAAATGATTTGATAGATTTTGTTTTTAGTTTTAAACGATTTTGTGAGTACATCAATTCCATCCGATTAGATCTTTTTCTCATCTCAATACGTATCTTCATTCGATTTTTTTTTCTTAAAAAAGTTCGTGTATTCTCTCATCTATGTATTCAATTTACTCTTGAAGCAGTACATAATTAATCGATAAATACTGATCGGTTAGAAAAATCGAACGATATTACTAAGAAACTATTGCGCGATTTACGCCATAGTTTTCTTTAAAGAACACAGTATTATTTTTTCTATCTTCTGCTCTCAGAATTGACTTATACGAAGTTCAGCGACCCAAATACTACTTGTTCTAACATAATGGTCTCTGATTTATTAGCGAATTAAATGATCTATCATTGAAAATTCAACTTACTTTTTGTTGTTGTTTTCATTACTTTCGTATTCACGAGTATCTGTCAAACCGGACAAGGCACCAGTACAAAGCTTGTAAAGGAATTGTAGTAGAAACTAAACAAACATAGACATAAAAATAAAAACGATTTTTACATATATGAAAACACTTACACAAACCCAATACACGTTGAGACCGAATAATATCCACAAGAGTGAATTGAAAAAGCCATATAAAATACAGCCTTTATGATAAGTTTGTTGGGGAAAGACGACACCAGTAGAATACAATACTTTTAATGGATACAAATAAAGACGGAATACAAACCTAAATAGTGTGTTTATGTTTAAAATAATTTCAATCAAATTTCAACTTAGACATACCAACAGAGAGTAAATATAACAAAACCACCAGAAGCAGCATGCTCAAATAAGGGACGTTTTCGACCACCGTCTCGTGTACTCATATAATGTAACAATTTAGTGAGTTCAAGCCAAACATCGCCTATATCATGTACAAACAGAACGAGTAAACCAATCTTGTGATATCTACACAATATAAAAAAAAAAACAACGATTGAAAAAGTGAAATTTTTTTTCTTGTTCTCACCGCATAGCATAAGAAATAATGAGGAGTGTTATAGTAAGTATATGATGTATGCATATAGCATAAAAATCTTTGCGCTTGCTTTCAACGAAGAATATAGCATAAACAGAATGTATAGCATGACCACATCGTCCTAAATACATTAATTTGATGTCAGATGGAATTTTCATGCCGGATGACCAATCTAGAATTTTATTGAATGACTGAATAAAATGTAAAAGAATGTTTATTTACCATCCCATATGAGATGAGGTTTTTCATAGTAATCGTAACGATAATAAAGTAAATAGGCACAATAGACCCATGCAGACGTAGCTGAAGCAAATTTCCATGCTGATTCAGGAAATTTTTTCTTATTCTCTGGAGTTAATTCGAGCCAATTGACAAGAGGCTATATAAAAATAAAATATTTTTTTTAGTATAATTATTTTAAAAAGAACAAACCTTGCATATGATTCGTTGAAGTATGAATTGAGCGACTGTGAGGAAAATTGCAACATAAATAATATAATAGACGTCTTGAAGAGGAAAATAGAAATGCCGAGTAAATTCATCAGTAAATGACTGTGGAAATTTATAATCATGCCACATATCTGGTGCATAGTACCATTTCAGTGTACGATAAATGTCCGTAGCAAGATCAATATAGGACGGTGAAATTGTAAAATTTTTTTGTACCTCAAATTGTTCGACTGGGATATGAGTATGAGTCATGATCGATGAAAGTGAGTAGTATCTAAATAAGAAGAGTATATATGTATATATGTCGTGTTAATCCTAGATTAAAATTTTTTATTAAAGAAATATACAAGACAAAACATAATTCAGCTTTTAAAAAGACTCTTGGTAAACTTGCATAGGGTTTTAGTGCGTAATGTGAAACGTTGAATACACCATCAACAAATTCGATGCTGAAAGGACATATGACGACAAAATTTATTTACTTGTATGCTCTTTTTACTTTCTGTTCTCTTATCACTATTACATAGAACGAGAATCAACACATTCAGAGAGTGTTGTGATAAAATAAAAGTCGAGTTAGTAAAGAAGAAAGAAAAAAGGGATTGATAAGGGCGCGTATATGTGCAAATGGGTCTTATCTACTGTGTAATGCTTTCTTTACATCGTATGATATTATAGTCACTTACTGAGTGTCCATAATATTTCATTTCGACAAGATACAACGATGAAGCTCTATCGTGGGTGTTGTGTTAAAATTCAATGTTCGTATTGAAAGCGTGTGAATTTTTTCGTCTATATAACATAAAAATTCATCATTTTTTAAATGTATACTGTTGTCATTATTTCATCGGATTGATTTCTACTACGAGAATTATAATACCACAATAAAAACAGTGAGGATGTCCATGTGAATGAAGGATACATCTAATATCAACTTGTTTAAACTTAGTAATTCAATATTTGAAGAGCTTTTTAGTTATCATGTACACATTATAATAACTAAACTAATTAATCTCGAAGATTTTCTCTATGTGCATCAATGTGTCATCATGTATTAAATTTATTTCCATTTCTTGTTGTCTTTCTCTCAGATAATCATTAGAAATTATCTACAGAATGCTTTATATATATTTTTTTCTTGCATGAGAATAATCTTAATATTTAATAGTAGTATTTACTCACATTGTTACTATTTGTAAAAAGTTGAGTAAAGCTGTATCAATAATCGAAAAAAATGGCCCATATAATAGTTGTTATTTTATAGGTCATCTTGTATATACAAATAATTATAAATAGAGAAACTACACTAGATTTCAAAATGATCTGTTATTGTGTTGCTTGTTTTATTTCGTAATTGTTTATTATACCACTATAAGATGCTATGATTGACAAGTTGTTCTTCGCAACCAATGAAGTTTGCTGATATTGTTGCTTCCTACATTTTAGTTAATGAAAAGAAATGATAGTTGGTTATTTACTGATCGCATGTATCTATATGTGATCATATATTTTGTATGTAAAGTCGAACTCATCATTGTATATGATCGCAAAGAATATACAGAGAAAATATATTGATTGACTGCTACACATATGATCAACGTTTTCAAAAGATATACTCGAATATTGTCCATAATCTTAAACCGATCTTGTTATGGTATAATATATCTCTTGCCATAAAGAATGCTGATTCTTTTTCATTTTCTCATGTACTACTGATTTCGTTGAGTATTTAAGAAGTGAATATTCCGAAAAGAAAAGATGATTCTTGTTTTTGGAAAGAAGAGGAATAAAGAACAAAAAGGAGTGATAACAAATTGGTGCACCGATCGGTGTTGTTTTAGTATATGATTTATGGAAACATAGAACGATCAAACGTTTTGAAATTGAAAACACAAGATTACCGAAACTCGTATTCATAGTATGTTATTAAAATTTTTGAAAACCTTACTAATACTGAGTAGTTGAAAGACATCACAGATGGATTGAACTATATGAGATTTATTGATGATCAAAAAGTAATGAATATATCAGATTATTTAAACGGTGATGAGAAAAGATGGCTCCTGGACAACATTTACTGAAGAAATCAAAAAAGAGTTTATGTCACTATTTCTGACAGAGAGCGATGTGTATCAACTAAAAAAGTGTGTGCACGCTATGAATCAGACAACAACTTATTATGATAATCATATGAAAATGACACAAAAGTGTGAATTATTGGAAGAAAAGGAAACAAATCTAGAAAATTCTGACCTAATGTTAGCTGAATTGAATAATGTCGTCGCGCTCAATAAGCGCGATATAGAAAGCAGTGAAAATAATTTAGAATCTAGTTGGCCTCACGAAGGCAAGTCATGATTCATTCATGTTCAATTATCGCAACGACGTCAATTTATTCGATGTGATCAACCCAAAGTATCCCTTAATTTAACCCAAAATATTGATGATGATTTTTCTCAAGAAAAATTGACGTGTTGTGTCGATGACTTATCATTTTCTGGTACGAATAGTACATCTATTTTGGTTAGCTGTGATCTCTAAATCTTAAATAATCTATTAAAGGTACATTAAACTTATGGTGAAATTATCTCATTTTATTGGTATATTAGCTCCTGTTATAATCGCCTGTTGTCGAACCTTTGTTGATGATACAGCAATATCATATTTGTTCCGCAAGAAAATACCGTGTTACACGGAAGATCGACAGTGGTTCCAATCCTTAGCAGTTCTCTAGTATTTTATATTTATAATAAATGTTCTTCGAGATGAACGTACACGTTATTTTATTACAAATTTATGTATTCTTTTCTCTGTCGATGGGGAGAGGAAGTGTTATGGCATGATATATCTCTTGCCATAGAGAATGCTGATTCTTTTTCATTTCTTCACGTAATACTGATATCATTGCGTATTTAAGGAGTGAATATTGTGAAGAGAAAGGATGATTCTTGTTTTATGAAAGAAGAGGAATAAAGAACGAAGAAGAGCGATAACAAATCTTCTGATATAATATTATTCTAGAGATACAAACCGAGAACTTTCGTAAAGTGCGTTGAAGATATCAGAACGCATCTATTTTTGCCTTTATCATACTAAATTGTTCTTGAAGAACACACAACAATAAATATTTGCCCAGTCATTTAATCGTATATTCTTTTCTCTTCGTGTTATTTTTCTACAGCGTCTGAAGATACAAAAAGAAAAAAGAAAAACAAACATATGCAGACCCCTTCTTAGTATAAATTGATACGAATTTACAAGTCAGAATAAAACATATTTTTTATTTTTTTTAAAATTGAAGATTTAGAACAATAGTTATGCTGATAGCAGGTTTAATACTAGCTGGAATTATTTTTTTATTAATTCATTTTCTCCGATCTGATGACACTGGTGATTCATCGATTCCATATGCCAAATGTGCTAGTTATCCTATTGTTGGTCATTTATTTTCTTTCTTACGTGATCGAAGAAAACTTTTCTTAGAATGTAGTAAACAATATGGTGATTGTTTTCGAATTCGAATGTTTAATCAATATTTTACAATGATATTATCTCATACTGATTGGACAAATGTTGTACGAAATTCAGCATTTCAATTTTCAGCGACTGATTTTGCTGTGCAAATATTTGACATATCACGTGTCTTTCATGGTAAGAATCATTTGTTTAAGAAATAATAAAATTAAAAATATTAAATATTTCAAAGGTCGATCAGATTACGATGCTGATACTCATCGATTGTATATTCAACATTTAAAAAATCGTGAAGGATTACGTCCAATAGTCACTCAATTTGTTCGACAGATGCGAGAATTAATTAAAAATGATAAAACGATTCTTGAAAAGAATGGTAATACATCTGAATGGATATCAAGTGGTTTACTTGAGTTCAGTCACCATATGCTCTATCAACCTTCAACAGTTGCACTAATTGGTGACACTAATCCATTGGACGCCGAAGATGATTTTCGTTTATTCGATACTAAATTTCATTATTTTCTAATACCTTTTCCTCGTTGGATGGCTTCTTTACTTCTCTCACGAGAATTTCAAGCTCGTTCACGGTTGAATGAATTCTGGCCTAAAACTCTCGATCCACCAGGTTCATCTCAATTTCATCGAGATCGATTAGAAATGTTTTCAAATCACTCCCAATGGATGCCAGATAAAGATAAAGCAGCTCTTCAAACTGCTTTCTTTTGGGCATCTTTAGGGAATACGATTCCTGCCGTCTTTTGGTCTCTATTTTATATTTTACGAGATCCAAAAGCTATTTCTACTATTACCGAAGAAATCAATACACACTTACCAGCTGTTCCATTAGATGGAGACGAAGATTGGACACCAGAACAATTAGATGCCTGTGTTTATTTAGAAAGTGCTATTAATGAAACTATTCGATTAGTTGGTACAATTTTTATGACACGAAAATGTATTAGAGATGCTCAACTTATATTACAAGATGGACGTACTGTTCAATTTAAAGAAGGTGAAAATCTGGCTTGGTTTGCTGGTGCAAGTCATTACAGTGAAAAGTTTTTTGTCAAACCAAACGAATTTCACTTCGATCGATTTCTAAACAAGAAAGCAGATAGCGTTCCTGGTTTTATGCCTTTTGGAGGGGGAAAAAGTATTTGTCCAGGAAGATTTTTTGCAAAATTTGAAATTAAAGCGTGTCTTGCCATGCTTTTACGATATATGGAATATCAAATTCAAGATACACAAACCATTCCAACACAAATGAAAGCTCGAATAGGTTTTGGAATTGCACCACCTACTAAAGATATTCCAATAATCTATCGATATAAATCATAATTGAACAATTAAAATTAATATATTAACTCATTTAATTAGATTCCTAGTCGACATTCATTTTTTTTTCTTCATTATATTTTATCCAATAAAATCAGACTGTAAACATATTTGAAAAGCTCAAGTTCTTTGTAGTGTGGGTGGAAGTGATCAAAAAACAAAACACATTCACATCCACCCCCTGCTCAGTCTATTTTCGACGGAGATCATCACGTATCGTCAAGCTCAATTATTTCATTGTTGAACTAATGTGAGATGGGTGTGGGTGAGGGCGAGGATAATAGAGAAGAAGAAACATCCTGACCCGGACGTACCCTACTCTTGATGGCTGAGCAATACGTTCATCGATTCTGATAAGCGTCTATTGTTTTGATGTTGAATAACATCAAATATGAGCCAAACGAGAAGGCAAAAAACCTAGAAATCAAAGTGACGTTTCTGTTGCAATTCGAGTAGATTTTAATGAATATTAGAAATCACATCAATAGTAAAATTAGAAGTATAGTTCATATATTTCACGTTACCATTCTGATCAAAAGCCATTGGTGACCAATAGGTAAAATCATGTCCTTTGATACCATCCGGAGAACTTTGCCATCTATTACCTAGCCATAAGTAACCATAACCTCTATCTTTAGTACTGTTAAACTGTATAATGTTAAGCTGTTGAGCATGACCTTCGTTTCCTAGATTATTTGTTGTTTTAAAAGGACCGAGAGGAGATGAAGAAGTATAGACAGTCACAGCTGACCCTTCGGCACAGTAACAACAACATTGACCGAATACAGCATAATAAGTTCCATTTCGTTTGAACATTGAAGGGGCTTCCACAAATGTCTGACCAAAGTATCCACTATTAAACTTTTTACCTAATGAGCTAAGATAGTCATCAGATAGTTTTTCTACAGACATTAAGTGGCTGGGATTGTAAATACTACCATCAATATGCGCAGTATAAATGATATAAGCATCTCCATTAGTATCTTGAAAGAGATTCAAATCTCCTGTATTTTCCCATGCTAGTGTAGTAACGTTATCAGTAACCAGTTGAAAGGGACCTTGTGGTGTATCCGATATAGCCACAGCATATTGTGACTGCGAGACACCTGTACCTGAAGCTGGCAGAAAATTAAACCACATAACCCACTTCTTAGTTTTTGGATTTAGTAAAACACGAGGGACAAACATGATTCCTTGATTCTTCATTGAAGACATTTGAAAGGTGTATCCACGAAATGTCCAGACAGAAAGATCCGTCGAAGTATAAAGACTGACGTTATGATTGAGTTGAAAACCGCATCCACCTGGATACCATACGGTACAACCTGAAGGACCTGGAGGTTCTTTGCATTGACCATAACTTGCACCAAAGTAGTAGTACAGACCATCATAGAGCAAGATGCTACCTTCATGAGCATCCAATATATTTCCATCTGTATCTCGACGAGGAATTATATTATTTATCAATACTTCACGACATATAACGGCATTCAACACTGCAATTAAAAGCAATGTGGCGACAGGGATACTTGCGAACATCATTATGCTACTAAATTTGAAAAAAATGAGAAGAATAATTATTGTTTCTTATATTCACAGAGTAGCGTAATTAATGATCCTATATGGATCAGTGGTTATATCATAGATCCATAACATATTTTTTATTAATCTCATTAAATTAATTTCTGTTTTCTATCAGACCATAGTAAATGTCGCAAAATCAAAACTAATCAGGTCAAAAAGAAGTGAGCTTCACGCGTAAACTCCACGTTTGGAGTTGCCTTTTCCATTCATACTTTACTCGAAAGTTTTCGATCTATGTTTTACAATATTTGATATACATCTTTGTAAAAAGTCATCCTCGAACAAATACTGACCTGCCTCAATGTCTGGAAGTGCTATTCCCCAAAACAGAACACAATTGCTCTGTTCTGGGAATACTATTTCCTGATCGCTGCTAATTAAATAAGTACTGATCGCAGTTAGTATCGAAGGTGTCAGATTGCCTAATTCTAAAATTTCGAAAGGATTTGACAAAGAGTTAGGCACTTTCACATAGACACATAATAGTGTTCGGTAAAATGTGGACGCTAAAATGCTGGCATCTCAAAAACGACAATTTGGAGGCAGCACTTCGTGCAGCTCACTTTTCTTGACCAACTAATCAATACTAATGTGTATCTGCGGACGATGTATTTTCTGTATTTCTCTCTTACCCCTAGTATTCGTTGATTTAATAATAATTACTTCAAACTTTGTATGTTCGATGATAAATGTGAAGAATAACTATCTTTTCTTTTTCTTTTCGAGTTATCATTCTTTTTTTATCATCGTCAACAAAAGTGTCCCATGTGTATGTGTCAGGCAGAATTAAGGTTTAGCCAAAATTAAACTTGATTTTAAAATGATTCTATGATCATATGATTTTAAAAAAATTTCAAAAAATAATTTACTTGTTATTATTATTTTAAATTTTCCAAAGTTGTAAAGTTCTTAAGTTGTATTCAATAAAAAATGAATATAATTTTAGAAAGATGTAGAGTTCGCAAGTTATATTTGTCGCAGATGAGTTTGGAATACGTTTAAAATTAATAAAATATTTTTTTTTCGAAGTTTTTGTGGTATTTTATAGCCAGAAGCTATTTATAAATAAAATTAGAAGAAGATTAGTTTTAATTTTATAAAATTATCATATTTCCGCTAATAATAAATTGTATGTATATTTTAAGAAGAATTTTTATGATAACAGAGTATTTCCGATTACGTAGAATTGATTTTGTTAGTGTTTCGTTTTTAAATATATTAACTATTTTTTTGATAATGAGGACATGGGGGCATTGACTATTTGCTAGAAAATGGATTGTTCAGTTTTTATTATATTGTATTTCTTTTGTATGATAACAAGATTAAAAAATCGATTTTATTGATGGAGAATAATATGGTAAATATAAGAGAGTTTTACGTAGATTTTTTCTTCTGTAATTGAGGTTTCGTAAGTATTTTTAGAATCGGTTACAAAGGAAAAGACATGAATATTTTCAATTAGATTATGTTTATTACGTATTATTTTCTCATTAAATATTTCCATCGAATCATAACATTTTAATTATAAAAACAAAATACATCGATTTATCTAATTAAAAATGTCGTCATAGCTTATGTTTAATCATAATGTGTTTCATAGTAACGAATCGCGATAAATAGAATACAGTTCATTTACACAAGCGACATAAATATTTAATTTAGTAGATCTTAGCAAAGTTTTTTAATATAGAAAATTTATGAAAATAATAATTTTAGGAAAACTATGTAATAATATATTATGAGACAATCAATTATTCTATATCTGTATAATACTAAACGTTGAGTAAATAAATATATAATAAATGACGAGCATACAAAAATTTTGAGAAAAAATTAAATATATGATACAATAAGTACCCCTAATTTTTTTTCATTGCTTTTAATGTATGTTTTTTTTGGAAACTACTATACAAATTATTTATTTTATTCTAACAAAAAAATCTTGCCCGATATTTTTTCTTTTAATTCTAAATGACGAGCACAGAAAACATAGAAAAAATATATAATACAATGAATCGCCTAATTTTTTATTAGTTGTTTTTAATATATGTTTTTTTTTGGTGGACGATTCTATACAAATAATCTATTTTATTATAATAGAAAAATCTTTTTCTATATTTTTTTCTTTTAAATTTTCGAGCATTCCAAACTCAACTGAATTCTCATGTCAACTGTGACATATTTAATAAAAAAACAATATAGTTTTTGGAAAATGTCGAGTGCGGTAGATGTTTAAAACAAAATATAACGAAAACTGTTTTAAAGAAGATCATAAATTTTTTTTCATGAGTGAGGTAATTAATTGATGCGTTATTTATCTTATCAATTGTTACTCATTTGCTCGACCAAAAAAAAATCAAATTTTCGCGCCGAAAGAAAAGCAAGTTTTGCCTGGGACATATACATATTACTATATTTCTCTATGATTCATTCTAATAAAAATGAAAAACGTATGATATGGAAGATATAGTATAGAAGCAGTTAAAATGTCATTATCTGGTATTTTATAGTGCATGAGTCTTGGCATATTTCGACTATAGCTGTTTTTCTTCTAAATCATTAGATCTGGTTGTTTTCATGAATAGTACATTGTCAAAATCCCTGCAAATTTCGAAAACAGAAAAAATACGTCATTCATAATAAGCGTTTGAGAAAGTCAGATATAACTCTTTTCTAAAGTACACATTGTTGTAGGAGATATATATAATAAACACAAAAAAACATAAATCTCCTATAATGAGATTTAATCGAATCTCCTAAAAAGTCATAAAAAACCATAGTTCTGTTTAGTATGCTAGATGTATTATACATGAAGCAGGACGAAGAAGATGAAACAGAGAAACCAATGGACCTATACTATTTTTGTTAGAAAATCTTTTTTTCTCAAGTTTGTCAGAAACTTGGCATATTCCTTTGAGTATAATTTAAACATCTTGCTCTCAGTTGTAGCATTCCTTGCAATGACGTAATTTCTACTGTGTTTGAATTACGAAAAAGAATTGTTAAATGGATAATTTGTTTTATTTTTCTTTTTCCTAGGTGTATACAAATTCATAATCCAATTCATCATCGTCTTATCGATTACGAAGATGAACATCTTTCACATTGTATAACCAAATATGAACTATTTCTTCAAAGCATTGACTCGATTATAAATATTCTATTGATATTAAATATATCTCATTACAAATTATATAAGATGTTACACTAACAAAAGTTGTACTTTATAATATTTGTTTTTATCTTATTCACTCACGTATCTCGTTTTTTTTGTTCTATCTAAGATCAATTCATTGAACTTCATTTGACACATAATACTGCTAATAAAATTATTTGTGAAAATATATTCATATTACACACAAAATTTATTAATATAAATAAAATATTTCATTTTTGATTATTAATGTCATGTACTACGGCTGTATTTTGTTACAAAGAAAAGAGAAAAATAGTAATCTGCATTAAAATAAACGATTGTTCTAATTAAAAGTCTTTTATAATATATAAATCTCTTCCTTTAGCAATAATATATGTTGTTTTGATGATCACTGTAACTGAGCGCCATTAAGTTGTGTGTTGCTATGGTAAACCTCTATATTGGTGTCATCTATAGATGAAATTCACCTTTAATTCAAAAAAATTAGATATTGTAGGTACTAATTCCTAGTTTATCACTAAAATTCTTTTTTCTGTAACTTGTACTCTTATTTTAGATGTCGCCAACTGTCCTTGCATTTGATTTTGATTAGCAATTTTAATCACATTTTGTTTCATCTATTAGAGAATATGCTGACTAATCCAATATAAATTACAAATATAATGATATCACTATGTATTGGTTACATATACAATGGAAAAAAAATATTCAAGTAAACTGTATCACCTCTCCAATCTGTTTTTGTATTATACGTTAAGCGACGGTGTAGCGCATCTTTCTACCTGTCACATCTTGTATTAATTATCGATGACGTCCGTTACGTGAATAATTAAGAAAAAAAATGATATTGCCTACGCGCTTTTTTATCTATTTGATTATGCTTATTATTTCATTCATACATATATATAGGAAAGGTGAGGTATGAATAAGTGATCGATAAAATACGAAATCAATATTAAACTAAACGTGGTATATATATTTTTTTTTTATTATTTTTTTATTTAGATATCAAATCACGTTCAACTGCAATCAATTAACACAAGTAATTTATATTGATCTGCACAAACCCCCAGTAGAACTGTAAGAGCAAAATAAAAATTTTTTTTAGTAAGATAAAACAATATAGAATTTTACTTGAGTAAATTCCGGTATAGGTATAGACGTGATCATTACAAAAACTAACTGATATTTGGTTTTTTAGGCACGAATAATCATCAATACGAGAGACAAATGTCGATGCGAAACATTCCTGCTTACACTGAACAAACAGTGATTTCGGACAATCATGAAATAACCAATTATCGAAGACCGAAATCGAAGAAAAATATGCGCGTACAGACAATGTTCACAACAAACGTACTCAACGATGAAGCGACGACTTTTCGGCCATACTTTCGAAAGAAAAATGCTCAAGTACAAACTGATCTGACTGCAATTCTACTAGATGATGAATTGATGAATGGTGTTCGACAAATATCACGAAATAAGGACAATATCATGAGTGATACATTATCCAACCGAGAAGATAAGCGTGACGACAAACAAATATTGACAGTAGAAGAAGATTATATTAAAGGCACAGATGACACTATAGATGATATAGAATATTCAAATAGTATCAGAAAAAATTCTAGTCATATCGTTGAGGAACAAAATTTAACAAAAACTAATATTCAATACGAAACTGAAGGAAGCATCAGTCCTATTCTGGGATATATCGATGTGCCTCTTTTGCCACTTGCCAATGCATGTGCTCCTCTATATGATATCCTTCATAATTGTTCTTTCTATGTTGAACTAGCATTAGAAGAAACTCCTGAACAACCACCTGATGGATTATCAATTGACGAGAGTGCTGCAATTCGGCTCTACACCATCGAATGGGACAGTCCACATCGAAGTCTTTATTCAATGCTTAATTATCATCTCAAAAATAACGATCGTGAGAAACTTATACCATATTTTCAATATATTAAACTGCTTTTAACTGCACTCGTCAAACTACCATGTGTTCCTCCATTGACTGTTTGGCGAGGAGTTACTAAAAATTTGAGTGAAGAATTTCCACCGGGTACAAAAGTGACATGGTGGGCATTTTCATCATGTACAACTGAAATGACTGTACTTGAAAATAATATGTACTTGGGCTATGAGGGTGATCGTACACTTTTCTCGGTCGAAGTGTTGAATGGTCGAACAATCAAAGCTCATTCACATTTTGTAACTGAAGATGAAATTCTTCTTTTTTCTGGCACTCACATGATTGTTCAATCACAACTTAGTCCAGCACCTGAACTGCATATCATTCATTTGAAACAAGTCATACCAGAAGAAATGACATTGGAACCGCCTTTCGAAGGTAAAATGCATACTTTCAATTTTTCATTTTAAAATAAAACTAATTTTATATTTAGGTGCTCATATTTATCCAAAAATCAGGTAAGCCTTATTTAGTCTTCATCGATGTATATTTATAATGATTTCCTTATCTTTTTCTTTTGGAGGCGTGAATGGTATAGCAAGAAAAGAATCGTCATTCCAATGTGTACTTTCGCGGTTTTGCTTGTTGTGGCAGCTGTTCTTGGTTGTATTTTTGGATTACAACATAAAACCATCACAGCAGGTAGCTACATTGTTTCATATTCATACCCTCAAGACAAACAATTAAAACTTTGAATATTTCTATTTTAGCATATGTATGTACCGATCCTTATTCAGTAAGTTTAAGTGCTGGAGTTGATACTTCTCCATTGAATGTTTTGGCTCTCAGTTATAAAAATAATACGGAAACTAGTATGATAGTATTAGCTCCAGCCGACTCTAATATGTATGTGCTACTTAACAAGCCAAATAAGATCTATTCGGCTGAACTTACATTTGACACTGGCAAATTTCCGTATGCCATTATTGCTGCTGATTTTAATAAAGATAATTATATAGATCTGGCAGTTTCTAATGAAGGTGACAAGGCAATCAGTGTCCTCCTGTCGAACGGTGACGGAACTTTCGCTATTCAAACACAATATACGGTCGGTAATGGTATAAGTTCAGCGATTGCAGTCGATGTTAACAACGATACCGTTCTAGATCTAGTAGTAGCTAACATTAATGATAACACTATTAGCATATTATTCGGATCTCCTGATGGAACTTTTGCGGTACAATATACATATGAAGTTGGTAAACGACCACGATCGGTAATATCTGGGGATTTCAATAAAGATATGAAAATAGATATAGCCGTGACTAATCAGGATGAGCACACCGTCGGAGTACTGTTTGGAAACGGTAACGGAACTTTCCAAGATCAAACCAAATATGACGTCGGCGAAACACCAGATAATATAATAACGTATGATTTTAATAATGATACATATCTAGATCTGGCAGTACCTAACGCAAATGAGGAAACAGTTAGCATATTACTTGCTAACCCAGATGGTACTTTTCGAAATCAGATAAAGTATGATACACTGAATACGCCAAACTCTATAATAGCGCAGGATTTCAATAATGATATGAAATTGGATTTAGCAGTTGCTAACTCGGGAGACAATCGCGTTAGCGTGTTGCTTGGCAACGGTGACGGGACTTTTCAAGAACAACAAACATATGAAGCTGGATCCGGAACAAGTGGTTTAGTATCTTCAGATTTCAACAATGATAGTAAAGCCGATTTAATAGTGACTAACTACGATGAACTGACTATCAGTATTCTTTTTGGCTATGGTAACGGTAGTTTTCAAACTCACATTGATTATGCAGCTGATAGAGGACCGAGAGCTGTGATAACAAACTTTTTTAACAATGATACTGTGTTGGATCTGATAGTGGTCTGTCAGATGGTTAACAAGATTAATATCTTATTAGGAAACGGCGATGGAACGTTTCACGGGAGAATTCCATATGCAACTCATAAATCTTCGAACTTTATGACCTCAGGAGATTTCAATAATGACAACATAGTGGATGTTGTAGTTACCAACTCTGATAAAACTTTTAGCATACTATATGGCAATGTCAATGAGAGTTTTCAGATTCCAATGAACTATACTGTTGCAATCGACATCAATTTTGCATTAGCAGCTGATTTTAACAATGATACCAAACTAGATTTGGCATTGGTCAGTCAGTTAAATAATAGTATTATAATGTTGCTTGGTGATGGAAAGAGAAATTTTAATAATCCGACGACATTCTCGGTTGGCAAATCGCCAATTTGTATAGCAACACAAGATTTTAACAATGATAAAAAACTAGATTTAGTGGTAGCTAATTACTATGGCAAAAATATTAGTGTGTTTTTAGGAAACGGTGATGGAAGTTTTCGAAATCAAACTACGTATCAAACTGGTGCTAATCCAAGATTTGTAATAGCAGTTGATTTAAATAATGATTATATCATAGATTTAGTAGTATCCAACGAAGGTCAAAATACTATCGGTATTTTGTATGGTATTAGCGGTGGAACATTTCAACCGATGGTGAAATTTACAGTTGGTAGACAACCGAATGTTATAGTAGCAAATGATTTTAATCAAGATAAAAAATTGGATATTGCAGTAATTAATACGGGTTCTAAAAACATCTATATGCTTTTTGGGGATGGAAATGGCGGATTTCCATCCAATAAAACATATACTACAGGTACTTCTCCTATTGACATGATCGTGGCTGATTTGAACAATGATGGAAAAAGGGATATAATAGTTGCTAACAGTGCTTCTGCGGACTTAACTATTCTTCTGAACCAATGTCTTAATTGATGAATATAAACTATGAACACTTCTGACATTGACTTTGTGTTTTCAAATTTGTATGTGCATGTTTTAAAAATTGTTTCTTTTTTTTTTCTCATTTTTGTGGTTGTGGGTGAACAGAATACTAATCCTTATTCATATCTTTTTTTGTAGAGAACCTGTCAGGTCTCATCATAGTGATTAATCTAACCAAATATAATAATCTTGTCGAATATTCCTAATAATGCAATTAGTGTGTTTTGTTGTTCTAACCATTCTGTAGTAATTGTTGGACAGTTTTTTCGTTGCATACACACATGTAGACTGATCTAGTGATACATCTTACGAAAGACAAAATCAATAATATTGCTGTATGAATGAATACTTAACGATAAAAATTGGCACGTTTCTTTCAAAGTCATTTTTATCAAAACTTTCCCACACACGTACATTCTAACACATTTTAAAGTTAAAGCATATTTATTGACAATAGATTCAACAGTTGTGTTTAGAGCAAAACGGCTTGAATTAACCAATCGAAAGTCTTGATTTAATTGATAAATAATTGATCAACTCAGTTATGTGTGTGAATGTGACAGTGTGGTGAACAGGTTATTATCTCACATACATACCATCGTAATGCGACATCTACGTTTAAACTATAGTTCTTCTCGAATACATTGTTTTGTAATTATATCATAGTTTGCCAAGACATAGATTTATACTTTAATCATGTAATTATTAAGAATCACATTGTTAACAATAATAATTGAGGAAAGATAACAATATATGTATGAATCATTTATTTTAAAAGCGAAAAAGTTAGTAAGAAGTTTATCTTTCTTCATCACGTGAAATAGAGAACACATGGGCAGACAAACATAAAATTATTCAGTTTGTGAGATTGATATTGCAAATAATGGCAAATGTGTTGGAAATACTCGATGCAAGCAAATAAGTTCTGTATAGTTTCTGTTTTAGTAACTCTCATAATGTTGTTCATCTTATTTGATAGCACTCGTTGCTCGTAAAAATGATGAATATATATTAAATCCTCCAATTTATTACATTCAGTTTATGTCTATTTTGAAATCAATTACATCACAAGAACCATATATATTAGTTAATGAGTTAACAAAATATGAGAATATATTGGGTATAGTATAATTATTTTATTTTCTTAGTGTAGATTCATTTCCAGCTTCTTTTTTGAAAGAAGAAAAAGCAACTTTAGTTCAATCAAATCTTACCTAGAATAGTAATAAAAAGTTACAAGTTGTTTATCATCGAGCAACTCTTTCCAAAGCACGAAACACAGCTGCAGTATTTGTCATATCTCTTACCAAAAATATATATACTATACAAGATTCGCATACGATATAACGCATTTTCTCTTTTGTTATGGAAATTTTCTCAAATGTAAATATATATATAGTACACGAGTTCATTATCATGCGTTGACAGTAGTGAAAAAATATCGATAAAAAATAATTTCCTTTTTTGTTTAATAAATTTAATATTCAAGAAAAAATCTTCGATATTTCAATTTTACACTGGTAGGTATATCTTCTCTTAATCTACAACCGACACCCTTAAATATGTTTTTTGAATTTATAGTTACTTATAAATTTATGATAACATTGAAATACGTATCTATAACTACTCTCGCTCTTTTGGTAATCAAAATAAAATACTAGAATATGATGTACAAAAATAAGTGTATGTATAGTTCGAAATGTAGAATTAATCAAATTTGATTTCAACTGCAAGGTCTTTTGGTGCAACTGCCATCTGTTGACGATGGCCACCATTGTTGCCAGGTGTATCAACAAAAGTAACAAATTGCATTAAACGAGTAATAATAATTTTTAATTCTAATCGAGCTAATTCTTGTCCGGCACAAGCTCGATGTCCACCACCAAATGGTGAATATGCAAATGGATGATGATTTATATCGGGAGCATCAGTACCATAAAATCTTTCAGGAATAAATTGTGTTGGATCTAGTTTCCAGTTTCTAGGATCTTGTTGCATGAAATGCATTAATGAAAGAACTGTGTCTCCTTTGCAAAGTTTAACTCCATCGATAACAGTATCATCAATAAGTGTTCGAAATCCACCTAAACCAATCGGTGCTAATCGTAATGTTTCTTTCAAAACACAATCAATATATTTACATTCATTTAATAAATCAAAATGATCTAAAGATGTTTCTTTTCTAATACCATTTTGTTTTAATTCTTCTTTTATTTTTTGTTGAATTTCAGGTTTTTTACTAACATAATAAATAAACCAAGAAATTACATTTGAACTTGTATCAAAACCAGCTGCAATTAATCCTAATAATTCATCAAGTAATTCTTTTTTACTAATTCCTTTCTTTTCTATTTCGGGTTTTAATCTTTCTAAATTTTCATCATCTTGTAATGATGATACTAATGATGCAACAAGATTAATTGGTTTCATATCAGGATCTGTTTCTTGTTGACAATGAATGATAATTTTTTCGATATGTTTTTCCAATATTTTTAAAGCATTTTGAAATTTTCTATCAAATTTTAATAAATAATAATTAATGAAGTATGGTATTCCATTAATTGTAATACGTTTTAATGTATTTAACCAAGTAAATAAAGCATTTGTCATTTCAGATAATTCAAAATTTTCTTTTCTATTTAATGATATAGCAGATTTTGCTAAACGTTTTAAATTACCCAAATCATAATCAAATGTTATTAATGTAAATAAATCCAATAATAATTGTTGATTATCATTTACTAGACATGTACATATATTATCATCTTTATTTTCATATCTTTGTTTCCAAATATCAATTAATTGATCAACACAATTAGTTATAATTAAAGTTTGTGATACAAATTTATGTTTTTTTAACATTGGTAAAATTGCTCTTGCATGTCGTTTATATTCTGAACCAATAGTAGCAATTAATGTATTTTCTGCTACTAAACCAAATGTTTTTATACGCATATCAGCACGATCAAATATATGACGATGAGTATAGATTTCTTCAGCATGTTCAGGACGACAAAAGACATAAAAATGATTTGCACCAAGCCAAAATTGAAATATATCTCCATATAATTTTTGCATTTTTTCACAACCATGTATATATGAATCAATTAATTCTTTATTTGATGTGATGATACCAAGTTGACGAAGATTACCAAATAGAAATTCAGGCTCTAAACCAGGAACTGAACCACGTAGTGTATAGTATTTCCATTTTATGTAGAAATAGATCGTTACTACCAATACTGCAATCAATGATAATAATACAACCGAAAACATAATCTAACAATAAAAAGTATTATCATAATAATATAAGGAATGTCTATTAATATACGTATATCACCGTATGACCCCTCTACGCTTATATAATATTTCTATTGGCTCTTCTCCGTTCATATCACTTTCTAACCTCTTACTCGACTAGATGATTTTATTCGATGAAACTGCTTGTGATGAAAAAATAATAGGTATTCACTCATTGAGATACGACGAGTCACTTATTTTATCGTTCTGTCGCTATACAGTATAAGTCACTCGAAAGAAGATTTATTTTTCGTATGTATTGACGACATAAAACGAATTTTATTTTGCGTAGCTTACAGCGCGTGACAAAAGTGAGTGAGTAATTGATGTTATTTTTATCATTTCTAATAGGGGATCAAAATAAAATTGCTCTCTATCATATTTTATCTTGTTAAAAATAGAAATCGTTTGTAATAGATGATATCCATACTTTTTTTTTCTAAACAACACGTTTTATATTATCGACGCCCATCCTTTTCGAATCATTAATTAATGAGCCACATTTATCATACATTAATACACGTTTCGAATAGATAGGAACGCAAAAAAAAAGTGATGCTAATACATCATTGTAAATCGCATATCGCTATTCGTTAAAAAAAATCATCCTTGTCATTATTTAATTCATACATAATTTTATTGAACAATAAAAACTAATGGTGTGGGTAAAACTATGAATACCAACTGTTCATGACGCATATGCGAAAAAAAATCGGTTTTTATCAAATTTTTTTTATTATGATATAAGGTGAAGTATGATCGAATAACATAAAAAAA